AAAAAAAAAAAAAAAAAAAAAAAAAAAAAAAAAAAAAAAAAAAAAAAAAAAAAAAAAAAAAAAAAAAAAATCTAAGAGATCTCGATGTAACGATCCAACCGATCTCAATGTAATGACCCAACGGCTATAATAAATGAAGTGATGCTAAAAGACGATTCTATAAAATCGTGCACATTAAAAAAAAAAAAAACTTAAATTTAAACTATGATAGGATGGATAATTAAATTTTAAATTAAGAATATCTGTCCCAAATTTTTAAATATGTAATTACTTTTATATAATTTTATTATATCCAATCTACTAAAAAAACAATTCAAATGGTTGATTTCAATTTAATCTCTTAATTATTATAAAAAGAAAAATTAATAAAAATGGCGACATTAAAATAATAAATTATCTAACGCTAGTTTCTTATTTCAATATCAATGTTTATTATGTAAAATTAAATACTTAATATCAACAATAATTTATACAAACTAATGCATTAACCATATTAAATTATGTAACTACTCGAAATTTTCTATTTTTCTACTTAATTTAAGGTCGCTACAGTATACGTACCATAAAGAATGCGTATCATATACTATAGTGTTGTCCTCCTATAGTATTGTCATAACTGATAATTTGGATGTGTATCATATACTCTACACACAGCTCATACGTGTAGGTATGGGTTCAACAGTCAGTTTGCACACTGTTGGACCACTTTACTATTCAGGCGAGCATACACTGGGACGCTCCCTAGGCCGAACACTCGTTAGAACTAGTAACCGTCATGACAACGCTATGCAAAACATAACGATCGTTGTCCTGCTATTGGATGTATGCGTCCGTACCCTCGTGATGGAATATGGGTATCCCCAATGCATAAACACACCTAATGCATGAGCTCTCCAATATTTCTACTTTTATCATTAATGAATATAACTCCGCTATCATCTTTCATGCTTAACATGTCATTTCTCATTTTTCAGTCTGCGTATTACACATAATCCTAACGGGGTTACATTTCATATTGTTTATCGTGATTTCATGTCATATATCACATGTTGTTTACATTCAAAATTATAGGACCATTCACGCCAAAATAATCCAGACACATCATAAACATCATAAACATAACACATCATATCACATTAAACAACATACATTCACATTTCACAAGCGTACTTAATCGAGTATAACAGGCTAGCATACAATTTAATGACACGTGCGAATCTACGGACACGTGCCGACATACAACATACAACGCGTAACCTACGACAAGTGAGCCATTTACCTGGTTAGCTTAAGTCGTTGTCACGAATATATTCTAAGTTCGATTTCATCATTTTCGATTTTATTTGTTCAACAAATCTTTCCTCAATCTTCTCTCTCATTTTTCTGTAAATAGATTTTCATTTCAAATCGACATGGCTCCTACTCAATATTTATTTTATAAACATATATTATTTGCCAATTTTAATCCATTGTTTGCCTATTGGATACATGAAAATGAGATTGATTATTACATGATATGAAAAAATATTGGATAAAGGAAAAAAAGATCTGATCCTAATAAAATATTGGATAAAGGAAAAAAGATTTGATCCTAATAAAATATTAGATAAAGAAAAAAAAGATCGGATCCTAATCAAATATTGGATAAAGGAGAAAAATATGATCTTAAATTAATTTTTTATAACCATAGTTATAAAGGAAAAGGAAATCTAAATAGGATTTTACAGTGACAACCGACCAAAATTTCTAAATCTCCAATCTGACGTGTTGAAAGCCATTTTACTCCTTTCTCAAATCTAACATTTTTTCTGAGAGAGAGGTGGGTAAGTTTTATTTTATTTTATTTTTTTTACTTTTAAGTAATCATTTTATTATTTATTTTGACATATATTTTTAATTTTTTTTAATTCTTTATTATTTTTTTTCCGAACTACAAATTATATCAAAATATATACTATAATTAGATAAATAACAAGCCCAAAATTCAATTTTTTTTTAATAAATTTAAAATCCAATGAAATTGCAACCAAATAAACAGTTTTTTTTTTTTTTTTTTAAATCATGAGATAAACAGAAAACCGAATAATATAAACTGTCTACATTGTTTTTAAAATTTTCTAATAAATCTTTGATATATTTTGTTAATTTTACGAGCGGGAAACAAAATTGAAAATTTAAGAATCCACGTCAACATAAAATTAAAATATTTTATTTAATAAAAATAAATAAATATGTGAAGGATCTATTCCCACATAAAACTAAAATTTAAATATTTATTAAACTAAAAATTAAAGAATTTTTTTAAACTAACTTATATTTTAACCGTAGTAATAATAATAATAATAATAATAATAATAATAATAATAATAATAATAATAATAATAAATACATCTATACTTAAAAAAGTGCATGCGTCCACCTTATTTATTTGACCAAATTTATCAAAGAAACCGATTTTTTTTTCTTTTTCTTTTTTTCTTTTTAATTTTCAAAATTTATATTAATTACTATTCGCGAATCGCTGACTAGTTTCGTCTCTAATAAAAAAAGAATATAAATCCCCGAAATTATTGTATTTATTTATTTATTTAAAAAAAAAAAGACGAAGAAATATTAACACTTGCAGAAAGTGGGGCGGCCTCTGGAATTAAATCTGGTTGGAACAGGATCTTCTCGGAACGTTTCGTTCTTCTTCGCCGTCGCCGTTGTTTCTGTTTGGAATCTTCCAACGTTCATTCGATTTCTTTCAGAAATTTTTGCTGCTCAAGAATAAACTTCGATCACTTACGAACTCAATTGATCTGCTTTCCATTTGCGGAGCTTTTGTGTAGTTTTGAGGTGCAGAGCATCAGTGGGAGTCGGATAAGTTCAGGAAGTGTGCTGAGGAGGAAGAAGATGAAGCAGTGCTTCACCTTCTTCTTCTTCTTCTGTTGATTCATGGCCTCGTCTCAGCACCGCTGTGTTTTCGGTATGTTATGTACACTTCGTTTTTACGTTGTTGATTTTGATTCTCTAATTTTGCGCGTTGATTTGATGGGGGAACTGTTTGTGTGTTGGAGAATGGCGGATTTGAGTTGTATATCTCGGCGAATCTGTAGTGTTGCTTCTTTTTTTGTTTTGTTTTGGTTCAATTGTGGCGGCTTTCTTAATCTAAGCACGGAAGGTTGGGCTTTTTTGGTGATTTAATTGCTCGTTCTTTTTTGTGCGTCTTATTGTGTTGTTAAATTTTGATTTCAGTTGGGAATATACCTTATGATGCTACTGAAGAGCAGCTTATAGAAATCTGCCAAGAAGTTGGGCCCGTAGTGTCGTTCAGGTCTGTATTCTCTGCTCTTTTTCAATGAAAAGGAACCTAAAACTTATATTGGATTGAAATATAGGATCTAGAATAAGATTGAGAGCTTTGAAGAGGTAAAGTTGGGTTTTTTTTTTTTATATAAATCTCCTTGAATTTTCTTTAGTTTCCTTGCTTTTTATTCTCTCGCCATCATCCTTTTCTCCTCTGCGAGTAGATTTTGTACCTATGATTCTCTTATTCCTCTCAGTCTTTTTTCGGGGGTTTACTTCTGTCATTCTCCATCTGCGACAGATTGAGTGGCTTTGTCATGCTGGAATAGAATTCTTCGTTTTTGCTAGGTTTTCTACAGCAAGCCCCTGTTAAGGCTGAGAATTCGTTTCATGATGGTTTTCTTTAGGCCAGTTACCCAGATGATAGGGTTTTATCAACTAAGTGATATACATATAGTCTAGTTAAATCTATGACATGCCCGATAAGTTGCCTGTCGATTTCATCCAACTCTTTCTCTGTTTGATAAAAGGATAATTTGCCTGTCAATTTCATCCAACTCTTTCTCTATCTGATAAAAGGATAATTTTCCTATGTCTGGTCTGCTTGATTGAGGGGGTGTAGTGGATTGCAGTGTACTTGATTAGAATTGAAGTGTTTAGACTGTTATATCTCATCACAGGCGGAGCCATTTATATAACAGATGCAACTCACTTTTTGGTTCTATCATGGTACACTGTGATAAGGGGCCTCTCTTTGATCTGTAGAAATTGAACTAATGTACTCCTTTTAGAATTTAGCCCAGTGTTGGAAGCTGTAACCTTTATCTAATTGTAGTATGTCAATCTTGAAGCTTCTTAAGTCTCCCATCCGAGAAAATGAAGAAAAAAGAAAAAAAACTAAGTGCAGGACA